GGTTTCTTCGAGCTCATCCCGAGCCCGAGGTAAAAGTGTAAGTTTTGATAGGTATGCAATGGTAGCCGAGCTAACTGGTGGATCTGGACTTGGATCGTCATCATCGGAGGTTTCTGAAATAGATGAATATTTTTCTGCTTCTTTAGTTAGATGTCAAGGAAATGCTTTAGATATTTTACAATGGTGGAAAGTATATGGATCAGTTTCATATCCTATACTTTCCACCATGGTTCGTGACTTACTAACAGTGCAGGTTTCGACGATAGCTTTGGAATCCGCCTTCAGCACAGCAGGTCGTTTGATCGACGATCACAGGACATGCTTGGATTCGTATACTGCACAAGCGGTGATGTGCTTACAAGATTGGTGGAGGTACGAGAAGCGAACGCAAGACATCGATCGGATAGCTGGAATTGATGATAAATTTGAAGAATTGGGACTAGCAGATAGATATAAAGAATAGATTGTAGTTTTTATATCTTAGCTTAAAATTTGTAAAGAATTATTTTGGAAATAATTACAAATGATAGTGATATAGGTGAGTAGGTGCCAACCTAGTTGGGATTTACTTATCTATTGTGATGCGATTAATTCCAAAATAAATTTGTACTTGTAATTTGTAAATGATTTATTAGTTATTAATAAAGAATTTATTTTTATCATTTTTTATTTGTAATTTATATCATTTTAAGTAATTAATAAAATTATTGTTTTTTTATTTTTCTTATTTTTTTTAATTTAAAGTTTAAATAAAATTGAAAATTTTTGGGAAAAATAAAAATAAAAAAATAAAAAAAATCAGCCGGAGAAGTTAGAGGGAAGGAAGGGAGAGAAAGAACCCACATTATTAAGATATTAATAAATAACCAGATTACTATTACCTTTTTACTACAACTAGCATATTGGCATGTGAAAAATGCACCTGCACATAAAATTGAATTCCTATTTAAACAATTCTCGGTCATATGTGTTGGCGTCAAAAATTACCTATAGGTTCCCGCACGCAGCTGGAGACGAAGAGAAGACGATGAACGTCATTATCCGAGTCAAAGAGGGTTACCAATGTCGTAGAGAAGTTAACAAGGGCATGAAGCGAGTCGGCGAAACGTACGAGTCAACGTAACACGCGAAACAGCAAAACAACGAAGAAACAACTCAACCATGAGCTGTGTTTTGCCCCTTTTGGGCGAAAACACCATGTGTGTCTCGCCCACACCATCTATGTCTTGCCCATGGGAAGTTGTAGGTCTCTTTGCCAGCTTTCCTAAGTATCTTGAATCGCATCATTCCGAGATCGGACGAGAGAGTTAGAGCCAAAATACCGAAGACAGTACAAACTGTCTCGCACATGTGCGAGACACCCTAAACTGTCTCGCAGAAAGAACTAAAATTTCAGCCACGATATGATTTTATTCTAGAGAAGCTCAAAAGATAAAAGTTATAGCTCTTTTTGTCAGCTTTCCAACGCAACTTGAATCACCTCATTTTGAGGTTGTCTCGCACATGTGCGAGACACCTCGAACTGTCTCGCACAAGATATGACTGTTTCGGCCATAATGTGATTCGATTATGAATAAACTCAAAAGATAAAAGTTATAATATTTTTCATCAGCTTTCTAACGCAACTTGAATCACCTCATTCTAAGGTCGGATGAAAGAATTAAAGACAAAATGCCGAAGGCAGTATAAACTGTCTTGCAAATGTGCGAGACACCCCTAATTGTCTCGCACTCGAGACGCGTTTTCGACGGTTTTCAATCAGTTTTGATGGTTCCAGAGCCTCCCTAACTACTTTGAGGCAATCCTTAAACATGATTAAGCGGTTATTAACTGAGGATAAGGCTAAATCATCAATTCATATCCTAAAATGCTGCATCCGAAGCCTATAAATACAAGCCTAGGACACCTATACACAGGGGAGCAAAAATCAGAGGCGAGGTGCTGTCAAATTAGAGAGTGAACCAGAAATTTCAGAGGAGGGCTAGCAGATCTTGGTGAATTCCAACATAAAGAGGGAGCTATTCGAAGGATCTGAGGTCCGTTTCATCATTCCTTAAGATCAGACTTTGTTTTGATCTTGAGAAGAGTAGTAATCTCACTTTGTTGAGATTATTTACTTCTGTGATTGTTTCCTTTGTGAAGCAAGAGCATTGAACTTTTATTCTGTCAATCGGATTTGATCCGCGCGGTCTACTAACTAATGCATCCCCGGCACAGGCAAAGATCTCACGCAAACAGCGGGTGATAAACGTTCTCTGCGTGTGTTTGAAGAGAGTTATATTTGTTGGATAGCAGTATTCCTAATCTATTAGGATTCCTAATCTATTTTGGTAACATGAGGTTATTAGGATTCCTAATTTGTTTTGTTTTTGGTTTTAGGATTCTTAGTCTGTTTTGATTTTAGTTTTCTATATATATGGAGATTAGAATCAATCATCAAAAGAGAGGAGAGTTGTAATCAGAAATTAGAGAGACTTTTAAGCATTGTGAGAGGAAAATATTGTGAGCAAGTTGAGAGCTTTGGTTGAGGGTTAGTTTGTGAGTTTTGTGAGATTGTAACCCTTTTTATTCTTCTTGATTTAGTGGAATCTTCTCATCCTCTCCCCGTGGACGTAGGCAATTTGCCAAACCACGTAAAATTGGTTGTCTCGCTATTTGTGTGATTTGTAATAGCTTATTTAGGTTCTCTTGACAGGTCAGTCCTAGAACTGATGAGAGGAAGAGCTGATATCCCACTTTGTTGAGATATTTTACTTAAAGTTCTTGTTTCCTTTATGAAACGAGAATTCCTATTACGACCTGACTCTCTTGTTGTGTTGCCGAAGTGCTGCCGAAATTTTCGCTACGCGCAACAGTGTTTTTATTTGGACCAAATCGAACTATTTCAGTCCGATTCGATTCGGTTTAGGCTTTATTGTTGGTTCTATTCGGTTTCATCTAAAATGACAAAACCCAGCCAATCGACTGTTCGCCCATGATTAGAAAAGGAACTAACCAAATATGTAACGATTACTTTAGTATTTATTAGTTAAAATATTCAGTAATATTCTATTCGATAATTCATTTAACAATAAACAAATAGAATTTAACCATATATATTTGATTTGTTTGTTTAATAAACTATTTGACAAAAATTTATTTACTTATGCTATGTATTAATTACACATGTGATGTTATATTCTCGACCCACCTACATGTTTTATTTTAGCTGTATACTAATTTTGAGAGGCTTTAACAAATCCCGAATTCAATTTTTAACCAGTATTCATATTACAGATTTAGATATCATAGATATTCAATTATAAATTAAAATATTATTTAATATGTCAAATTCTAGAACAAAGAAGATATCGCTTTAATCAAATAAAAATATATACTTAGTTAAATTATTTAATTATTCATAAAACATAAATTATTAATCAAACAAATACACTTTAATATTCGATAAGTATTCGTGAATATTTGGCAGATACTGATATTTGAATTCAAAGAAAATCTAAGACCGATATTCATGTATGTATTCAAATCGAAAAATATTAAACGAATACAAATGCGAATATCTCCATATTCGGTTCATTTTAAGCCATGGTTTCCAATCCTGGGTTGCTTGGTTTGCCTAAAAATTGTGGCAAATGATTGACAAAGAAGAAAATGGAGGAAAAATACATCTTGTTGTAAGTTTTTCATAACATTTTACTTTTCTTTATTTGATTCACACCTTGAAACTAAGAATAATAATAATATGCCAAGTTCTTATTGGTTGATATGACTTATATTTTAGAACACCAATTTTGTAGTTTTTATTGAGAAAATTAGAGGAGATGGTTCCATCACCTCCTTCGTTTTTTTTTTGATTTTCTGGAAAACAGGCGAACGAGCCGTCTTAGTCAAGATTCCCAAGCGAACCAAATTTGCAAATTCCATTCCCAAGGATACTGTTTATTAGGGGCTGTTTGGTTGGTCAAAATAAGGCAGAAAATGGGCATAAGAAAACCGACGCATAAATTTTTTGTTGTTTTCTCCCACAATCTACTGTTTGGTTCGTGAAAGTTGCAAAGAAAGTGACGAAAAAGAAAAGCAACAGCTAGGAAAATTTGAGGGAAAATTTTCTGCGTTCATAACCCCAAAATCGGAGAAAAATCACGAAAACGTTCTCTTCGTACCATTCCACGATCTAGGTTTTCGGCTCCTCCTTCAGCTCTCGTCACCGCTATCTCTTGTTCTTCTTCCTCCTCTTCCCCATTTCTGCTTCACCTCCCGCTGTGCAGCCGACCGAAGCCCATTAGTCCTCCTCCTCATTCCGCCGCCACCCGCCTCCTCCGCTACGCTCTGAGTTTAGAACCGTCGCCGGCAGTTGCCGGAGATCGAGGCAGATAACTTGTGAAATGAGGGGCGGAGGTTGTAGGATGAAGGGGTTTTTAGGGTTTTGGAGGGATAGAAGAGGAGAGCGAGCGAAGGGAGAAGAAGGGTTCCCATTTGGGATTTTGAGATGAGGGGTGGAAATAAATGGAAGTAAATATTTGTGTTTATAAGAAAAAAAAACTCATATTTGTGTTCATATTTTGAAATTAGCCCCTCAAATCTTTAAATATTTTACAAATCACTACCTCAAATATTTTTAAAAAATTACAAATTAGTCCCTCAAACTTTTAAAATTTTTATGTGACGGTTGATATATGTTCACATCTCAATTTATATTAAAAATAAAATTATACTATATGGGTGGTAAGCATATATCATGATGATCATAGTCATGATTTTTCAATTTTTTTTTCATTTGAACCAATCACTAGAAAGTGATGAAATCTATTCACACATCAATTGTTTTCTTCTTTTTTTAAGTTGAACCAAACTAAGAAATGTGGTAAAAAATACTTTCCGCCCATATTTTTTGACGAAACAAACATAAAAAATATTTTTTATGAAAGTGAAGAAAATACGAAAAAGTAAAGAAAAATTGTTTTTGAAAAATGAAGGAAAGCAAACAAACAGCCGTTGGGAGAAGGGGAAAAAAACCAAGAAAGGGTAGTCGTCGCGTCAGTCATCGGCGTCAGAATCTAGTAATAACATCACTATTCTCTCTCTCTCTCTCAATGGCGATTTTCTCGTCGCTGCAAAATCTCCGGCGATCTCTCTCCTCCTCCCTCCTCCGAAAACTAAAGCATGGCCATCATCAGGCGGCGGTGACGGGACCGCGGCAATTCACGACCTGCGAGGGATCGAGGCCGAGCATCGTCCACAAGAGGAGCCTAGACATACTCCACGATCCTTGGTTCAACAAGGTAAAGATCCTTGATCCAATCTCCTTTGTTTTTAATAGGAATTTTTTTTTTGATGAATTTGAGTGGTGGAAATTTGGGGGAGATTGTTAGGGCACGGCGTTCTCGATGACGGAGAGGGATCGGCTGGATTTGCGAGGGCTTCTTCCTCCTAATGTTATGACTCCTCAGCAGCAGATCGATCGTTTTAGTAAGTTTTTATGCTCTTGATTGTTGAAATGATCTTGGTTCTGTGCAACTTAAATTTGATGCTGGAGTGAGGAAATGTGGAAATTTTCATTTTTTATTGTGTTTGTTTATCTAGATTTGCAAGTTACTAATTTGAGAATAGGCTGTTGAACTGCATCTTTGTTAGGTGATAAATTATTTTGTGGAACAATTACTTTCATAGACATCTTTAATTGGATGAATCTTCAATTTTGTTCTCCATGAAAATTTTGCATTTATGATAAGCTGCTGTATGATACATTGATATCGAGTTCCATGTATAGGACAATCTACTGGTGCTGTGGGCCATTTTGATAAATCATTGAAATGAAAGCATGAGATGTGTACTAACTAAAATGTTTGCACGACCAGTGGTTGACTTGAAAAGACTAGAAATGAATGCAAGAGACGGACCGTCGGACACCAATGCATTGGCAAAGTGGCGCATTCTTAACAGGTTGCATGACAGGAACGAGACGATGTACTACAAGGTCCTTAATCTTTCTTTATTTAATTTCTTTAAACTGTTATATGAACTCTACTCTAATTCTAACGTTTGGCACTCAAAGCTGTTTAGTTTGAATTTGGTAGTGTTCTTGACCTTTCCAACAATATACGAGGAATTTCAGCACTCTGTCATTAGAGACAGTGATTTTGTGTTCTGTGTGACATTAGCAACTGTCTTGATTAAGGAAAATTTTGTTTATCTGTAATTTATACTGATATATGTTTGTGCTGAATAAGGATCGTTTTTATTGGTTATAACCAGTGTGCGCTAGCATTTAGTCCTTGGTTGTTAATTCATTTTATTGGTTTGCTTGAAATTTTGTTAGGTTCTAGTTGACAATATTGAAGAATATGCGCCAATAGTATATACTCCCACTGTCGGCCTTGTCTGTCAAAACTATAGTGGACTATTTCGAAGACCCAGGGGAATGTATTTTAGTGCAGCAGATCGTGGAGAAATGATGCCAATGGTTTACAACTGGCCAGCTGATCAGGTATGTGATGTTTGCATATAATGCAATCAATTGGATATAACATGAATTTTCCTGGAAGAATTGCCTCTTAATTTGATATTTATGAAGGATCATGAGCTTTACATGTTGTTCAGTTTTTTGGAGGTTTCAAATTATTTCATTATGAAATTTATTTTCTTTGTGGTTGCAAGTGTTTAAGCAATTTTATTAATAAATTGAACTTGACAATATCCTCCATATCTCGTTATTTAAGTTTGCAACTTGGTTCATCAAGGTCTAGCTAGTTGGATAATGCGGTAATGAAGTGCTCTGTCTCTTTATACGTTACCGGTATTGTATAGGTCACATTTCAAAGTTGATAAAGTTTCAGAAGGGCCGTGTTTTTATGTTACTCTCTGACATCACATGACTACAGTTCTGGTTATTTAGGTAACAAATTTTATGCAGCGGCAACTGTGAAAGAGACCCTCTTATATAGTTATATTCGATACTAGTTTGTAGGTAAGGCAAACCCATCCTCTATCTGATCATCCAGTTTAAGCTATTAAAAATGGAGTAATTCTTTAGAATACTCATTGTGCGAACTGGATGATATTTGCTATAGGATCATCCCTGAGACACAGAATAAATCAAAAAGCTATTTCTATTTTCCGGTGGCTTTCAGTTTCCCCTCTGTTTAGGAATATCTTTAAATATTGTCTGCTTTCTGCTGTTTAGAGTAATCATTTTCTTCTGTTTTGCAGTTTTTCTGAACGTATCAATTATTAGAATAGCAAACAAATTTTTGTTCTATCAAATGGTTACTGATGTAAGCAATTTTTTGCAGGTTGATATGATCGTAGTAACAGATGGAAGTAGAATACTAGGGCTAGGTGACCTTGGGGTTCAGGGTATTGGCATTGCTATTGGGAAGCTGGATTTATATGTTGCTGCTGCAGGGATTAATCCTCATAGGGTAACCTAATACTCCTGCATTGAACCTTGCATTGTCGTATACTTTCACCTCAGTTACTGCTATATTGAAATAGACTAGCTTCTTTACCATTCCCTTTAATTTTTTCAACACCTAGTATCTAATCAGGACTGATCACTGATGTATTGTGCATTCACTCTTTTGTTGTATTTGAATGTTGAGTAAGTTTCATATCTTGGCAATCTTAAGATTTTTCATGTTCGCTCCTTCACTCCAATCTCACACTGAAACCTTCATATGATCAATGGTTTCACTTGAGCTCACTTAAATGCTTCAGAATTGAATATCATTGATTGTTAGCATTTACTAACTTGATCATGACCTGAAACTAATTGTTAGTTATTGACAACTATTGTCACTATGTAATGGGATTCTTTCTTCAGTAGTAACCTCTCCTTGGTTACTATCTAACTGCTGGATATTTTCTTTATTTACCAGTTGCTTTTTCAAGACGATGAATACCTCAAACACAAATTTTTTGATATCATTATTTGTGATCTTAGCAGTACCTTTTTTTCTTGTAGGTTCTTCCAGTGATGATTGATGTCGGAACCAACAATGAGAAGCTTCTCAAGGACCCACTTTGTAAGATTCTATCTTTGACTGGAAAATATCCCTGTGAATATGAATCATTTTTATATTTAATAACTGCACCTATTGCACCAATAAATAATTCCATCATTAGCAGTGTTCAAGAAATTGAAACTCTAAAAAATGGCTACTTCGGCTGGCTGCTTAAGTGGTCAGACAAGATCAAAAGAGAACAAAGTGAGATAAGTACTGGAGAAGATAGACCATGATGAAGAAGAAAGAGAAGAAAAGAATCAAGAGAGCAGATAGGAAGTAAGCAAGAAACATGAAGAGCACAAGCAGATATAAAGAAGAGGAGGAACAAGTAAAATAAGATAGAAATGAGTGAAAACAAGAAAGTAGAAAACAAGAAGGAACAGGATTTGGCGTGATATCAATGTTGTTGAGGAAGTCAGGGCGAGGTGGTGTCAGGGGAAGAAGTGAGAAGGTTTACTTCTTCCGTCATTTTGTTTCATTTTCTTTGTGAGCCAGAGTGAATGATGGATCAACTATTTATTTGCTGATCTGCCATTTGTAAGTTTTTCTTATGTAAGCTAAAATATAGTGCATCTAAGAAAAAAGAGTTCAAGTTAACTGTTTAACTAATTTTTTCTGCCTTGTTTATATCTTGCTGCACTATAAGGTAAAAACACTCCGTACTTGTGGAAACTTTTGCAGCAATAAATTCATTACGCTACAATGCGTTCCCTCTTTATTTCAAGAGATTCCTCTTCCGAACGTTGCCAAACACTTGATAATTGATGGTATCATTATTTAAATTTTCTCATAAAAATTATTTATTAAGAATTATTATGACATTTAAAGTTGAGAAATCAAATCACACTGTTGAAGGTAATGGCAACAAATGGTTAAAGTCCCTTTCAGTATACCAAAACGCTGAAGTTCTAGTGAGGGTTATAAATTTATATTTTGGCTTGTTCTAGTACCATCTTCAAGTTTCTTCCACTGTACTAAAACTCTGAACTTGTGGTGATGATTGAGGGTTATAATTTCATATCTAACAAAAATGATCTCAAATTATACTGGCAAGCGCTATGTTGTATTCTCGCAAAGTACTGTAAGGAAAGTACATATGGAAGAAAACTGCCTGGCGTTGCTGCAATTTGGAAAGTACATATGAAAGAAAATTGGATGGTGTGGCTGCTATTCAGATCATAGATCGTAATAACTTCATGGCAATGGTGGCAAAATCCAGATCAGAAGTGAGAAAGTACTAAGTTTCATTTCATATAATTGACGTTTGTAACTTTAAATGGTTGGCAATTAGCTAGGCTATAGGGATAATGTGAAAACCCAACCATTGGGATAAACCAATGCATTTTCTCACTTACTATCTAGTTGCATTTTGGAGTTATATCTTATAAGTTTGCAAGCATCGCTGTTTGGGTAGATCTGTATGGCTTTCTTTTTTTTCCTCTAAAATAGAAAAAAAATATTGTTCTTGTTGTTCTTCGTTCTAACTTGTGGAATAAATTAAATACTATATCTTATGTAGATTTAGGACTTCAAGAACACCGTCTTGATGGTGAAGATTACCTCTCTGTTATCGATGAATTCATGGAAGCTGTGTTTACACGTTGGCCAAATGTCATTGTGCAGGTAATTTATCTGGGATATTGTCAGTTTGTCAAATGAGGCTTCAAACAATTGAATCATAGTAGTTAACCAACTTCACTCGGTTGTCTCAGTTTGAAGATTTTCAGAGTAAATGGGCATTGAAGCTGTTGCAGCGTTATAGAAGTACATATAGAATGTTTAACGATGATGTGCAGGTAAAAATTCATCTTAAGTGCAAGCACAGTAAAATGGAAGTTTTATGCATTATGATCAGTAACTTTTTTGGTAGTGTAGGTACAATTCTTGCTTAGCGAACAGTGAATCGCCTTTCTATAAGAAATAGAAAACCGTTGGACATATATTTCTAATAAATAAGTCTAGAGACAACCAAAGCTTGCTCCTGTGCAAAACATACACTTGCAGTTTCTTAATAAATTAAATTAGATTTTGCTGGTTTTGCGGAAACTAGTGCCCTCACAGGAAGTTTCCAAACACATAGTATAAATTAAATAAGATGAAAAGTTGCACCTTTAGTAATTGCATTTTCCCCTTAAGGCACTGGATAAACTGAAAAGCAACTGGGAACAATGATTTCCAACTTTCTGACGCCTCCAAGAATATTTTCCCAACATTAAGTTCTTTAAAGGTGTTTTTTCCTCAAGGCATTAATGTCTAAGAATCACCTTTGTTGTTTAATTTCTCAAACATAGCATCTTTTAGCTTTTGCTCTGCAATCATCTTGACAATATTTATTTTGAGAAGTGGTTTTAGTGTGCTAACATGACTATAATACTGGCAAAATGTCGGGGTTCCATGGCATGTCTTGTGGGTGAGCTAGCGTTTTATACATTTTGTACTAGAGCAACACAGTTCAGTGGATCTAATTTAAGCATTGAACTGAAAGACATTGGTGAACAGTCAACCACATTTTATGGCCTCATTTTGGTGGATTTAAATTTTAAAGTGAATCAAGTGACATTTCCCTAGGTATTTATCCTTTTTCTTTTTGTCATTTTAGTTTTCTTCTTGTTTTGGAATATAATAAATAGTATTGAAAAATTTAATTGGTTCCATGCTTGTTATGCCGCTTGCTTGTACTTTGGCATTCCTAGGGAGGGCTCTAGGAGTGAGCTTGGTGGTTTGATTTTGGAAGTCATATTATTAATATATCAGTTTGCATACCAGTCCCTATTTGTATTTTGTTTAATAACTATAGTTTGCAGTTTTTATATTTAGGCCTTTTTAAGGACCTAAGTTGCATAACAATGTAAACAGATAACAATATTAAATATATAAATGTCAGAAAAAATATCATTTAAAAGTTCAAATTGTTCGAACCAGGTATCAATACAAACTTTTAATTCAGTAGAAGTAGCATAGCATAATAACTTATAGTGTATCATTTGAATGTAAACATTACAAGCTTAAGTCATAGGCTTAAATATATGACTTTCTAACAGATTAAACATGATATGCAGAAGATTCCCATCGGAACAAAAATCTTTTAAGAAAATCATACAAGTTTACTACAAAAATCTTTTAAGAAAATCATACAAGTTTACTTCTCATTCCAGCCAACAAATTTTCCTTCTCTTATCTAATGTTTCTACATGCTCGCATGTCAACAAATATTTCAGTTCATGCCCCAACTGAAATTGCAGACTTTTAAGGTCATTGTTGACTTTGACATAGAGAATTTAATCAAATGATGCAGCTGCCTTCTCGTACCTATTACCATCTGTATCTTTACAGTTTGCATGTCAACCAATATTTTGGTCTAGAGCCGTCACCAAATTCAAGCCATTCAGAAAGTCATGATGTCTAACAATAGTGTCAGTTTAGATAATGGACTCCTACACCAATTGAGACATGTCTAGACTTTGGCAATTCTGTTTGCTGCTTATTTTATCACCTTGCCCTTGCTGGATCCTTCAACTAAACTCGAATGCTTTGCAGAAACCTAAATGTGTTTTAATAATACCATAGCTTTGCAGAAAGTCATTTCTTATGACTGTATGCTTTCTTCTTAGTTTAACATGACCCAACTTATTCTTTATTTGCAGGGAACTGCTGGTGTTGCTATAGCTGGTCTTCTAGGGGCTGTAAGGGCACAAGGAAAACCGATGATAGATTTCCCAAAGCAAAAAATTGTTGTTGCTGGGGCAGGAAGGTTTGATTTGGTTTCCTTCTGTAGAACACGAAACTGTTGTTGGTGCTGAATGTTACAATTTTCTTTTTATATGCAGTTTAATTTGTGATTACCTTTTTTATTTGCTTGACTATGTGTTCGACTAGGAAAATTAGATAGATTATAGAGACGATTTACCTCTCCTCTCAACCTTTATTTACAATAGAATACTAATATAAATAACTTTCTAGATATAACATCTTTCTAAATAAACTTAAGTTCTCTCATACCAATACAAGAAAGGTATGCAGTATTTTTTTGTTCTTTTTTCTTGTGATAAACTTAAAGAGTTTTTCTTATGTAAAAGGACCCAGAGTTTCAATATCGTATTATCGTTAATCTGTCAGCTTATTATATTTATTGCAATTGCATATTTCATTCTAAACTTCCCCTTGGTGAAAAGATTTAAAAAAAAATACTTGATGTAATCACTGAATAATATAGTTCTTTTTGAGTGGGTTTTGCTAGACAGTGGACTTTTAAAATGACTGTTTGGCTTTGGGGTGATGGGGTGAAGGGATCTTGGCTGTTCGGGTGCAAGAAGCGGTCGGGACTGTTCTGGTGTTAGGGTTGTTGGTATAAAAAGAGAAGGAATCAGTCCTTCAAAGGGATAAGATGTGACTTCACACCAATATAAACACATGCATTTAACCATCGGACTTTCATCACAAAATAAAGAAAATCTGTGTATTAAAATCTGAATGTTAACATGCATTATAAACTAAATACTCAAATTAAAATTTCAACTCAAATAACCAATCCTCAAATCAAATATCTAATCTAAACTCAAACCAAATATCTAATCCTGCAGTAATTATGATACCTGCACATCCATCATGTTATCTCAATATGTTAAACTAGGATTACAAAATGTTAATTGTTTTTGCAGTAGATATACTAAGTCATTTGTGCTGCAAAATGCAAATTAATTGCGATACCTTTGTCTACAACTATCGAGCTCAGGATTTTTTATGATGCTAAAGTAACCCACATGTGAGGTGGTGCATTTTGATCCATGCAGTGACTAAAATAAATCATGCTTTGTGTGTTATCACCTATGATGTACGGATACGGATACGGGACACGGATACGACACCGACACGGATATGGGATACGACAAAATCCAAAAAAATAGGATACGGGGATACAGCGAGGAATTTTTTTAAAAAAATATTATTATATATAGAAAAATTTATAAAATTCAACTAACAATCTAAAATATAAATCTATCACAAAATAACAAGTTTGCAGACAAAAAGTACCTCAAGATAAAGTGGAAGCTAGTTCGATGACTTCTTGATTGCATTCTTTATAGGATTTTTTCTTTTTTTCTTTCGTTTGAGTCAGCTGAGGATCGAATCGAATGAGAGATTTGAGAAATAGGGATGAGTTTTTTAATCGAACGGTTCGGGTTGGATTTTAACAACCAAATCCGCAACCCAAATGAATCGGCCTTCGGCGAATCCGAGCCGTGTCCGAGCTCCTTTGACCGTATCCGAGCCTAATTTGACCATTGTCCCGTGTCAGACATGGATTGATCGTGTCCGACACGTGTCGTGCAAGTATCGTGACGAATCCGTGTCCGATTCGAGTCGGACACGGATTTGTGGCCTCCGGGGGCGAATCCGTGCTTCAGAGGTTATCACAACCAGAACGCTAATGAGGTACAAGGGTGGTCGATCTATGGCCAAGAGAGTTCTTGTTGCAATGATATTTGCTAGATGTAAGGTCGATGGATATTATGTATGTTGAAACCATTGATCACAACAATACTTGCTGTATTATGCATGCTATTTATCTGAAAAGGGAGTTTATCCATAAAACTGAGCGAGTACTTAAATGTCGGTTCACGGGAGAGATGGAACATGTAACATAATTATATTGTGCTGTATATTAGAATGAGAAGTAGTGTATTCTGTTGAGCTATTATCTCTTTTGCTCAAATTTTCTGCCTGATATTACAACAGTGCTGGAATTGGTGTTGTCAACGCGGCAAGAAAAACCATGGCGAGAGTGCTGGGCAACAATGAATCTGCCTTTGAAAGTGCTAAGAGCCAGTTTTGGTTGGTTGATGCTAAGGTCGGTGTTCGTTCCTCAGTATTTTCCCATTTCAGTATTTGCTGTGTGAAGGCATAAATGCAATAAACCTAATTTCAATTGTCATTTTATTGCAAAGAACATAGTCCTTATGACATTATTTTAGTCACCATCATTGTTATCAAGGCGCGCGCCCCATGTGCCGGGCACTGCAGACTGAGGCACCAGAGGCGGGGCGCTGCACGCACACGAGGCGCGCGCCTCGTGTGCGCCTCGCGCGTGCCTCGTGTGCGCTTAACACCTGCGTCATGTAATAGACTCTTTCTTCTGTTTTTTTAAATAATTTACATATTACATATTTACATCATGTAATAGACTCTTTTTTGCTAGTTGCTAATCCATTCTCCATCTTTTCATGTTTAACCTATAAAAAGGAAACAATAATTAGTAATTTAGTATACTTGTTTGCTAATTTTAACTTTCTTTCTAATTAACATGCTAACTAGACAATTATGAACATGTAAATATGTAATTGTTACCTCTATTCTCCATCTTTTTATGCTAACTAGCAAATAACAATTAAGAATGTTAACTAGAAAATTATGAACAATCATGTTTTTTAATCACTTAATTGTTACTTAAAAATACATATATCATATTTTAAGTAAAAATACATATTTCTTATTTGTTACTTGCTTGTTTTGTTTCATAGACTTTTGCTTATGTTGGAGATTATCTTGTATTGTGACTTGTGAAAACTTATGAACTTCTCTATGTTATGCATGCTAATTAAGACTCTTGGAGATTATCTTGCTTATGTTGGAGATTATCTTTCGTGATTTAGTAGGTGAAATTATATTTCTTGGTTCTTTTATATGACGATTTATAAACATGTTGCTTATATGCTTCTCTGTCTTGTGTTGGAAAATATTAGTTTGAGTTGTGCGCCTCAATTCAGTTAGGCGCGTGCATCGTTGTGCACCTTGCGCATGATGCACGTAAGAGGCCTTTGCGTCCCGCATTGCGCCTTGCGCCTCGATAACAATGGTCACCATAGATAATATTTTAGTCCAGTGATTAAACAAGTAGAGAAAACTAAAGTGATCGTGTGTTTGACCTATCATGTTTAATCTATATCTGACCCACATATTCTTAGTTTGGATGAAATAATATATTTAATTCTTTTAGTAGGATAGTTATTCAATTATCCACAAATTTTCAACAGGCACATATCTCCTCTAGTTTTAACCAATTAGATCCTTTTTGCATAGCATGTCCGGAATACGATACCCCTTTATTTTATATTTCATAACGTTGATGCGTTATTGTTCAACTTCCTCTAGATGACATTGTAACCGTGACGCGGGATTTTTCCTGACAGTTAATATATGGAGCAAATAATATTTTTTCTCCCCATGTAAATACAGGGTCTAATAACAGATGAACGTGCGGACATTGACCCAGATGCTTTGCCATTTGCCAGAAAGTCCAGAGAGCTTCGGCAAGGTTTAAGAGAGGGCTCACCCCTAGTTGAAGTGGTATGCATATTGTTCCACTGTGCTATTAAGCCAATACTAGTCTTTTTCTGTGATGTCAAGGGAACGAGACTTTCCTTTTTTGTAATAACTTTGTAAGTTAGTTTCTTAGAGAGTTAAGTAAAACTTGCAGAAGTCTCAATGCACAAACATCTTGGTGCTCTAGACTTGCCTCTATAAGGTTTGTTTACTTAATTTGTTTTTCATTTGGAGATGAAATTATCTCGAAGTTAGGTGCATGGTATATGCATGAAGTTTTTTTTTAAATTAAACTAGCATTACTGCATGTGCAAATGTATGTTTCATAAAGACTAAACTTATTTATCCTAAATTTTATATAAAAAGGCCAATTGCATTTCAATACCCTGAAGTTCATGAGTTTCTTAAGTTTTATACCCCGTCTTATTCAAGCATGAAAATGTAGCATATCAACAAAAATCATTGTAGAAAATACTTCTTTCCCCAGCAATATTAAAAACCATAAGGACTTGTCAAAAATATTCTACATTTAAGATAGAAAAGTCAAAAGAGTGCTCACGGTCAGTTTTTTAATCATTATATTTTGCATTAACCGGTATTTAATATTTTTTTTGGAAGATAAATTTATCATTTTTTATTTATATGTCTTATTATCATTTATATTTCATATCTTTTATAACATATACCATGATGATTATTTAATTATATGAGTTTAAATCCTATTCTCATTCATGATTTAGAATCTATTCCTCTATAATAATGGAAGTGTCAAAGATTCACTATCCATGCTACATTAAATGCTAAAGTAAATTACTGTAGCAATGTTAGTGTAGCACAGGCAGGAGGATCCAATATTCACTATTCATGTTACAATAAATTATTATTGTTGCATCACCACTGTAGCTCAGGAGAGATACTGTAGCATTTAAAAATGTTACTGTAGCATCCACAAAAACTGTATTCAAATACAACATTTACTGTAGCAAAAATAAAAAAATAGAGGCTGTGCTTTGCAGGGGGTGCACACTAGTGTTGTATAAATAAGAAAAGAAAGGGAAATAATCTGTCTTACAAATTTACCCTTCCAATTATCCTCCATTCATACAAACTATTCATTACCCTCACTATTGTTCATTATAAATTAGTATAGATTTAGCTCCTCAGATGTCAGAACTCATTAGTAATGACTAGAGAACTCGTGAGATTCTAATTAGTTCCGGGTCACTTGATATTTTCCTTACCTACATATGCATCTCTTTTTGTTCTTTTGACTTTCTGGTTTCCTCCTAACTTCCCTTTTCTGTTGTTACTTCCCTGTTTTCGGAGAATATCACGAGAGTCAAGATAATTTTTTCTGAATGCATAACTAGAAACAATTACTGCTTGAAAAACTGTGCTCACCAAAAAGTAAGAGTTACATTACCATGTCATGTGACTACCATCCGTAAAATCTTTGGGTGGATTGGGATCTTTCTGTTAGGATCTAATGACTGAAATTTATATGGGATTGGGTTAGGATTTGTAAGAGGTGGATGAAACTGGAGAAAAGATAAAGCTATTCGTAAAATCTAGAAGAGTCAACAACAAAGAGAAATGAATTTATAATTTCTTCTTTTGGATCTATTAACTTGATTAGCATGGGCGTGGTTTTGAGTTGGGTTTTTAAGAGAAGGGAGATAAAGAAGGGGAAGAAGTGGGATTTGAATTAAAATCAGAGTTTTCAGCTAAGGGTGAAGTTGCAATGTAAAACATTGCCATGTGACTATCATGTGACCAAAGGCCTGCTAAAAATTTCAAAGAACAGCTTGCTTTCGAAGGTTCTTGTGCAGTCTTATGAATGCGGGTTTCTTGTTTTTCTCCAAAAAAACAGGGCATAATTAAGAGGGGTTTCTTGCAGTTTACCCTAATGAAAACTAGAGGCTATCTGCTTCAAATAAACTCTGCCATTACTGAAATTTACATTTCCTGCATTATTTTGTATCTATCAATCAGTTGAAATGTTTGCATGAATCAGGTGAAGAAAGTTAACCCCGATGTTCTCCTAGGATTATCTGCAGTTGGCGGTCTGTTCTCTAAAGAGGTACAAATACACATTAATGATCTTTGCGCTTGTTCTCTTCTGTTTTTCTTCTGTTTTTCTCTTCAAGTAGTTTGTTTCTTACCTTTTCTTTTGGCATAATGTTCCTAATATTTTGTGTGATATACATTATAACATCTCTCTCTTATATCATGTCCTAGATTCGTAGTCTTGCATTATCACTACACCAGTATGACATTACAACTTAGGTTATTACGAAGACCACATTCCTTTTTCATCTATAAGAGAGACATGTTCTGTTCCCCTTTCTGTTCGTGTTAGTGGAGTATACTAGCAGTGGTAATGTTTTATTGAAGCAAAATAAGCTGGTAATTTTTTTTCGGGTAATAAATGTACAGATACATTAGCTGTGTCCTCTACCAAATTATTAGACTGTATGCCTTTCGTCACTAGCCTATTTATTTTCTTAGCGATATTAGAGAAACCAAACAATATATGGTCGTATGATATTCCACTTGACCTCAGACTTCTTATTTCTTTCTTGAGCAGAAGTATTGTTAATACTCTAAATTAAGCACAAGCTAAAGGGTAGTCTATTGCATTCATCATTATAAACCATAAAGTGTCAACTTTAGATGCGTCTTATCTTCATTGCGCTCAAAGCAGCATTCTCCAGCATATTACTGATGGCTTGAGACTCGTGAGTACATTTGTACTGGC